TTATGGAGAATTTTTTCAGAAAGCTCCTCTCTTTGGGAACTGACTTTCCAGTCAAGATTGATGATGTGATTAAAATTCCTTTAACGAGATGGAAGACTGGAACTAGTTCTAACATCATTATTGTGCGATTCCTTTGCGTTACCACAAGAGATGAAATTTTATGTATATTTCGCCAGAAATCAGTAAAGTCTCCATTGAAGTGCAGTTCCAGCCAAAGTAAGGTATCAGTCTATCCTGATTTTACTAAAGAGGTCTCCAGAAAGAGAAAGCTGTTCTCAAAAACACAAAGTCTTGCCAGGTCAGTACAACTTATTTTATTATTATTGAGAAGGGGGGAAAAAAACACATAGAAAGTGCTTTAACAAAAAAGTGAAAAAATAGAACAAAAAACACACACATTAATATGTCATTATAACAGTAAACAATTACAATTCTGTATATACTTATCTAATGCAAACATTATTCTAGTATGTACTGTATATACAGGTAGTCCTCATCTAACAACTACAATTGGGACAGGAATCTCAGTCACTTAGTGAACCGGTCATTAAGCGAGACATCCACATGACCGCTTCACTCAACAACCACAATCTGGGCACTCCCGGTTGCGGTCATTAAGCGATCTCCCAGGTGGTTAAGTGGATGGAGCAAAAAGGCTGCCTGCTGAAGGATTCAGCTCAGCACAGAGCTGAAATCCTTCCAGCAGGTAGCTCTTTGAAAGCTTTGAAATGTCTCAGCAGTGTGAAGGTACAGAGCTTGAATCCTGAAGATTTGAGCTCCGTTCCTTCACACCGCCAAGGGGTTTCCCCTCCATGAGTGGAGGGGAAATTCTTGGTGGGGCTGGAGGAACAGAGCTTCAGGATTTGAGCTCCATTCCTGCACACTGCCATGTCCCCTCCATTTGCAACCTTCCCTGACAGCTTCCAATGGGGAAGCCAGCAGAAAAGATTGCAAATGGTGATCACATGATCACGAGGTGCTTGGCAACCAGTTGTAAATGCAAGCTGGTTGCCAAGCACCCAAAATGCGGCCACATGACTGCAGGGGGGGCAGTGTGACATTTTATGATGGCCAGAAGTGCTTTATGGGGTATAAAGCATCCTTTCCAAGGTCATCATAACTTCAAACCATCATAAACGAACGGTCATTGAGCGGGGACTACCTGTATTTCTAATACATTTATATGACTATCATGTTTTTATTTATTTATTTATTTATTTATTTATTTATTTATTTGTTGTTGTTGTTGTTGTTTAGTCGTTAAGTTGTGCCCGACTCTTCGTGACCCCATGAACCATATCGCGCCAGGCCTTCCTACCTCCCTGAGTTTGCTCAGTTTCATGCTCATTGGTTCAGTGATGCTATCTAACCATCTCACCCTCTGCCGTCCAATTCTCCTTTTGCCTTCAATCTTTCCCAGCATCAGGGTCTTCTCCAAAGAGATCTCTCTAAGTCTACATCTATAGGCAAACCACTCATAAGTACTAAGTGTGATCAGGTCTTAAATCCATTGAATAGATAGAGCCATATATTTATTTTTCCAATGCTGCAATATCAGTCTTTTGGCCATAGTAAGGGCACAACGAATCCATTTATGTTGTCTGGTTGTCAAGTTCCATGTACTAGGTATGTAGTTCAAAAGAATATTATCATATGAAAATTTCAGCTTTTGTCACACAATCATATTTATATAGTCCATTACTTTCTCCCAAAACTTTCAGCAAGTGATATCGTTTGTTATTAAGAATGATCAAGTAGGATTTATAAAAACTAGGCAAGCAACAGATGACATTAGGTTAGTTGTAGATCTAATAGATTTGAATAAAAATAAAGATCAATTTGTAATTTTATCATTAGATGCTGAAAAAGCTTTTGACAAAATTCATAAACAGTACATGTTTGCCATACTTAATAGATTTGGATTTTCTTTGGAATTTATAAAATGGATCAAGAGATTATATGAGTTGTCCACATCTAAAGTAAAGATTAATGTCATGTTTTCTCCTACTTTTCTGCTATTTAGAGGAACTAGACAAGGATGTCCACTTTCACCATTGCTTTTTAATATCTGTGTGGAACCCTTGGCTTGTGCTATTAGACAACATTGGGAAATCTATGGAGTAGTACATAACTCAGTTGAACACAAATTGGTTTTATTTGCAGACAATATTCTTTGGTTTATTTCTAAACCTCTTACTCCTATTCCAGTGTTGATGCAAAAGATAAATGCCTTTAGTAAAATAGCAGGATATTCTATTAAGTGGTCAAAATTGGAACTAATGCAAATAGGTGAAAATTTGGTTACCCATCCATTTAAGGAATATCAATTCAGTATTTGTACCAAATCCATTAAATATGGAGTTATTAAGTATGTGTATTCCAAAGGATATAACTCAGTTAGTAACATGTAATATATATAAAATATATAGAAAGGTTTCTTCAGATATCGATAGATGGGAATCATTAAAACTCACCCTTTTAGGAAAGGTGAACACTCTCAAAATGAATATTATTCACAGATTAATTTGTATTCTGAGAGGAATTCCAGTTTTTATATCTGGAACATATTTTCAGAAAGAAATTCCTTGTTTAGAAAATTTCTATGGGGTTCTTCAATTCCAAGAATATCTTTACAGAAAATGCAATTACCAATTAATGAGGGAGAATTCAGTTTTCTGAATCTGGAGCTATATCATCATGCTTACCTACTGTCAAGCATTAAATACTGGAAGCCAACAATTGGTGTTAATTTTCCGATTTGGGCACACTAGAACTTTAGTATCTCTGGAAACAATTACGTCAGTTAGAAAGTTATGGAATGGAATGTCTAATAAAAAAAGATCTGACTTCTTTTCCCATTCTAAAGTGACTTTAATGGGGAAAGCCAACTTTAAAAATTGGGAAAAAGTTGATGATATGGAAAAAATTGGATGGAAGCAATAGTTACAGCTACAACATTTTTTAACAACATTGTTTGGACCAGCAGCATTTTCTGAGATATCTGAGATACTAGAACAACTTGTTAAATCCTTTAAACTAAAAAAACCTACCATTAGTTTTTATAGATATTTGTTATCAATAAATCAATTTGATATGCAGATGCTAAGAAATGAGTGGAATAAAAAATTAGAGGCTCCTATGTTGCCTAGACAACAGGAGAATGTCTTAACTTCTATAGCAAGAGTGTCAGTGGACCTTAAACTATGGCTTTTACAACAAAAAATAATATTTAGCATTTATTGGACTCCATTACATTTGTATGGAAAAGGACTGTCCAAGACAGCATTTTGTTGGAGATGTAATAAGGATAATGCTTCTTTAAAACACATGTTTTTACAATGTCCTATATTTACTAAGTTTTGGGAGAAAGTAATGGAGGCAAATCACTTCTGAAAAACCTTGCCAAGAAAACTGCAGGGACTTGTCCAGGCAGTCTCTGAGAATCAGACATGATTGACCAGATTAAAAAAAATAGACTAAAACACATGTTTTTACAATGTCCTATATTTACTAAGTTTTGGGAGAAAGTAATGGAGGCAAATCACTTCTGAAAAACCTTGCCAAGAAAACTGCAGGGACTTGTCCAGGCAGTCTCTGAGAATCAGACATGATTGACCAGATTAAAAAAAATAGACTATATAAAT